TGGAAGAGGAGGAGGGTGATTCAACATTTTTCAGCCTTTAAAAGTCGTCCACCTCAATCTCCCTTCCCTTCGCTATCCCATGTGAGAGATTATTATGTGGTGTGTGATCTTTAAGGAAGAGAGGCATCACAATCACTGATATGTTTCTTTTCCATCACACAACCAATGGAGGCAATAGCATGATAAGGAGGACTCTCCCATCCATCCCTTTAATCCAAAGAAAGGGTGATTTTGAGTTGTAACTGTATATTTTAATTGATATTTAAAATCCATGCATGAAGCACCATTCATGTTTCCTTTTGAATATTATTCTTTGGAGTTTAGGGCTAAAGAAATTGATATATGGGTGCATGCATTCCAATTTTTAATCAATGCAATCCGATATAATTTTAATTTTTAAATTAAATTATAATTTTTCTTGAAAAACGAAGATTCATGCTGCTACTAATTATCTCATTTTTTAATACTTAAAAAACTCCAATTTAAGAGTAAGGGGGAAAAAATAGTAGCATCATCATTACTAAAATATCATTGGTTTGTGCACATTATGGTCATTTCCTTAGCTATCCGCTGGCATTGCCCCGTGCTGGAACAAGTTTGATTGAGTTTGTTAAGTAGTAAAATATGTGGGTGCATGCATGCCATGTTAAGTACTGTTTATTATTGATGGAGTTTGTTACCTTAGTTTGAAGTAAGACGTTTGGACTGTCCAGAGGAACTTGTTGACCTAACTTCCGGTAATAAGCATATTGTCATTCCCTTCTTCGACAATGCCGTGGATGCCAAGCAATTCTATAACTGTGTCGCAGTATTCTTTTATTAGATTGCATGTAATTTCCCTCTCCTACCCACCAAGCTGGCAGGGTTTCATGAGCAACCAAATTGCCTAGTGTCAGCAACTAGTGTTTCAGAAAGGATCCCTTACATGGGTTTCATTTGCTTTAATTCAAGCTCAATGGAGAATGTTTTCTTGCTTCGACTGTGAAACAAGAGCCGCTCCTCCATGCAGCTAAGAAGTGACCATAGGTTCGCCCTTTTTCAGGTTATGATTTTTGACCACTTCCTCAATTTAGTTACTGGCAAAATGAGGCTCGGCAACCAAATTAAGTATTGGAATGAAACAGATAACTGTCCTATGATGACACCTGGGCCGTGGGGACCAGATTAACATTGGTCCGGGTGAAGATAATTTACCAGTCCAATTTGTCCACGTTAGGACCACATCCCAGTACTCTATACCCTGGTAGGGCCTGGAGCCTAATTTATTGACGTTTGACCAAACTAATAAGTAATGGCTGATTAATTAATTATTCGTTTATGAAAGAAATCCCAAAAATATGAGACAAAAGACAGTTCATGATTCATCCAATAAGGCTGTGATTCTCTAATCAATCATTTGCTATTCTTTTCCTCTAACTTTGAGTTAATTATATACATATATATATATATATATATATATGTAAATTGAGGGAATAAGATCAGATTTTCGGTGTTGGATTATTATCTGTTTGATCATGTAATATTCTCCTTCCACGCTTTCTTCTTTCAGTACCAGCCAATCGGTGGATCAATGATGAGACAAAATTTACCCCCACAAAGCTTGTTTTCCATTTTGAATGAACAGTCAAATATGTTTGAGATGTTGAGAGGTTTCAACTTTCAAACCCAAAGCCCGTTTGGGTAGCAAAGGCAGCTCCTCTCTAGTCTCTGCCGCCAATGTAACAAACTCTGACGGACAAGTTTAAAACATCCAAAAACAATTAATTCATTAGTTGTTAAGAAGCTACACCCACAGTATCTATAACATCATCTGACTCATCAACTGCCATCTCGTTTCTGAAAAGCAATTTAAGGTATGGAACCACTTTCGGGAGCACAGGCAAATCTGCTATGTTAATGCTCATCATGTCAAAAGCAATGCATGTCTTGTGCATGTGTGTCTCATCAAATACAGGAATTTTCGGGTATCTTTGGCTGAAATGGGTTAAGACGATGCGATAAGCACCAGCAGAGTTTCCCACTTCAATGGCTTCCTTGGTTGTGCTGTGGTTTCTTGCAACGGCCTCCTCAACCAATCCATCCTCAAAAGTTGCCTGCAATACAATCAACACTAGGCTGGTCAAAATTATAATACCCTGGTGATGCCAATGCAACTATAAAGAGGTCATCAATTTCAAAGTGAATTCAAAGCTGAACAAACCACTTAGGAACCCTAAACAGTGAGATGATATATTTGATAGACATGGAAAGTATGAATACATTTAAATGCCACCTATCAAATATCTTAATCCTACATCAAAAAACCCTCTATAAATCGATCTTGAAAATTTACAATCTTGAACAATGCTATTTAAGACAATTGGCCGGAAAGTTATTAGCTTAGGATGATAATCAATTAAACACAACTTAAATATCTAAATCAGTAACTTGCCTCATGTATGAGAACTGTTGCACCACGAGATGCATCTACCAGTTCTGGACAGGGCCTAGTGTCACCTGAGTACACAATCTTCCACCCGGGGATCACTTTTCCAACGCTGTTGACACGCTCTGCAGCTTTCAAAACAATGCCAAATGCCTGGGGACAGTGCACGACAGGAAAACTAATTAAAGCCTCTAATCCTGCTTCTCCTAGCACTTTCTTCAAGTTCTTTAGGAATGGATAAGCTGCAGAATGGTCAACTGGACTGCCTGGTAGCCTCCAATAGCTCTGCATGCGGCTTCCTCTAGCAAACAAAGTTCCATTAATATCTTGCATGCTTTCATTGTTGACATTTGAATGTCTTGGACTTCCTGGATATGATCCATCATTATTTGATTCTTTATCGCTCTCAAAAGAATCCCATGAAGCTTCTGTGGTGCTCCCACAGTCAAGGAACTGCATATCAAGATCTTCAAGTCTTTGATATGCATCTAAATATCGCTTAAGCTGTCGTGGCCCTATAACCAGCAATGGTTCATGTGGCACTCCCTTCAATAAATCACGTCTCAGAGCAAGCACTCTTGCCAAACCGGTGTGGTGATCAGCATGAATATGAGAGATCCAAACGCATTTGAGATTTCTAATAGCATTATCTGCACCATCTACACCATATCTGTTTCCCCCAGTAGACCAATCATCATGAATTAAAAAGACAAGGGAAAAACCAAGATAGCACAATATCTAACTAAAAATTTGTGACATGTTACCTTCTTTTCAGTTGTCCCAGAGTTCCTTCTCCACAATCCAAGAGCAAACTTCCTTTGGAGAAAAGATTGATATAGACAGAGCTAACATTACGATACTTAGAAGGCTGGGATGAACCTGTCCCAAGAAGCACAATTTCTAGGTCATCTCTCCTTATGTTTTCCAGACAATTAGGCAGAGTATTTTCAGCCAACCATGGCTCTTCAACTATAACTCTATTATCATTCAAAGGAGTTAACTCCTCTCTACTTCCTCTAAGCCCATACCATAACTGTCTGACATGTTGCGCAGCATTTGCAATCTCTGGAATTT